AGTTTGATAAAGCCAGAACAAATGTCCGATGATGTCTGGGATTTCCTGTTTTGTGGTGGTCCGTATCCAGAGTCATCAGATATTGATCCAAATGTGCTTAGCTTGATGAAGCAGGAGTTTGAATATTGGTATCCTTTTGATCTTCGTGTGTCTGGCAAAGACCTTATCCAGAACCATCTGACATTTAGTACTTATAATCACACACCGATTGTGGACAAGCGCCACTGGCCTTGTGGTTTCAGATGTAATGGGCACATTTTGCTAAATGCTGAGAAGATGTCCAAGTCCACTGGTAACTTCAGGACTTTACGCCAGGCCATTGAAGAATTCTCTGCAGATGCCACTCGTTTTGCTCTTGCTGATGCTGGTGACGGTGTTGATGATGCAAATTTTGTATTTGGAACTGCAAATGAAGCAATATTGCGCCTCACAAAAGAGATCTCCTGGATGGAAGAAATTCTTGCTGCTGATACAGCTCTTAGATCGGGTGAGCCTTCTTCTTATGCTGATCGGGTGTTTAAAAATGAGATTAATTTGGCAATAAAGCTGACTGAGCAAAACTGCCAGAACTATATGTTCTGAGATGCTTTTAAGACTGGAATTTATGACTTGCAAGCTGCTAGGGATGAATATAGGCTTTCTTGTGGGGTTGGAGGCATGAACAGGTTTTTGGTGCATCGTTTTATGGACATTCAGACACGACTTATTACCCCTATCTGCCCACATTATGGAGAGTATGTTTGGAGAGAGCTTTTGAAGAAGGAAGGCTTTGCAGTGAAAGCTGGCTGGCCTGTTGCTGAGGCACTTGATTTAGCCCTTAAGAGTGCCAACAAATATTTACAAGGCTTGATAGTGCTAATGAAAAAGCTCCTCCCCAAGCAAATCACAGGTTCAAAGAATGCTAGCAAGAAAGGAACCCCCGCTCAACAACTTGCAGAGGACAAGCAATTAACTGGTTTGTTTTATGTAAACGAGACATATAATGACTGGAAGGAAGAGTGCTTGAAAATACATCGCTTAAATTTTTTATAAAGACCAAGTGACCAACTCTAGTAGATAGTGATTTATGTTGCGTGGTCAGCTAGCCAGATCAAGACGAGAGGAGAGGAAAAATAAATACCATTTTGAGTAGGATAATTTACGTGGTGTCCCTGCTTGTTTTGGATAAAATCCAAGCTGTAGAATTGTAGATCATACGTAACAATGTATCATATTCAGTAGTATTGTTTTTCTCTCTTTTTTACTCCAGTTATCTTTAATTCCGTAAACAAGTGCTGGTCGTCTAAATTTATCGACTGCCTATAACTATCAAAGCAGGGTCCTGGCTTAGAAAGCTTCATTAATCAGTACGCAACACCTTTGCGCTAGTTACCACTCTTACCAGAAGGTTGACAAACGCAATGTCAATTGGAAATTATTTTGGCAAGCTCAAATGTAATACGGACAACGGAGTAAGAGTTTAAGCTTTTGTGGGATAATAAGTAAATTGCAAAGTTGATAACGAATGCCTTAATTGATACTCTTTACAAAGTACTTCGTAAATTTGTATTTATCCTTTAAATGTGTTCAGTTTGTGTTTAAATAACTAATATGTTAACCACCTGAGTGACCTAGTTACGTGAGAGTGAGGGGTCGCTCAAATGGTTAAAATTTTCCTTCAGGATCGATTCTCATCACCTGCCCTTGTAATTCTCTAAACACCAAAAAAAAAAAAAAAAAGTGACCTAGTTACGTAACACCTCAATAAGATAATCGAAGGTAAGTTTTCTTACACTATCATATACTCTGAATCTAGAGGTGATCATCAATGGCCCAACTCATTAGCCCGATCCGGTCTAGCTCGAAAAAAATGTGGATTTGAACTTTGGACAAACCAAAAAACATATTTTTAGTTTAAAACCTTAGCCAAGAAAAACCGATTTTGACCGGACAAGCCCAACATTGTTTTGCGGGTTTAGACATAAGATGTTATACTAAGGCCCAACCCAACCTGATCTTTTTTTATAACCTCTTCAGGCAAAATCCAATTGAAATTATCACACTGACAAATTTCCAAAGACAGTTAATTGAAGAAACAATAGCATAACAGCATAAGACATCCTGGTTTTGGCCAGCAAAAGTAGCACATAATATATCTTCCAAGATACAGAACAACTATTCAAGAGTTGACTTAGTTGGAGCAAGAAAACAGGTTTAATAATAATATAGTATACACCTAGTATACTACTTGTATGATACAAATAATAACTGGAATACCCAATTAGTCCTGTAGTTCAAATATAGAGCCAAACTGATGTAATTAAAGAGGGTTCAGATCATCAGATGTATAGTTTGTCAAGCAGAGAAGAAAAGGGTGATTAATTCCCAACTTTAGATTTCAGAGATGGTCTGCAAGGCAGGCTTCCAATGCCCCCCGCCACAATGATGCCTACCTACTCGTCTGCTGCTACCGCTCCTGCTGCTGCTACTCCAAGCCTCGTTACCATCTTTCTCTATCTGCAAAGCATATAGACGGGTGATCACCACTAGAATATGTACCGTGTTACATTACATTCCAAGGGAAATTGCATGACATGGTGAAAATCTTTATGCTTTTCAATCAGCTTAACATGTTCTATATGATAACCAAGTTAAAGTTTAAAACAAAACATTCATAGATATTACAATTAAATTTCAGTGTAAATTTCATGTATCATTAGCTAAATGTGATATTTTTGCATAGCTTCATCACGAATAATCAACTACCATAATGGCATGAGGGGGGGGGGGGGGGGATATATATATATCAAGAATAGTTAAGCACTTAATAACTAGATTGTAGGAAGCATTCTGTAGCTCATGGAGCAGAAATATCGCTTAGAGATTGCCAAATGAAATATCTAATTGCTTAACAAGTTGCGTCTATACTACATCTACCTTTGGCTAAGTAGAGAGAGTGAGCAAGTCAACACATAACAGACTTTTGCCTCTATTAATTAGTTGCTTAACTGTTAAGCGAACACGGATCCGAAAGTGGATTTCGGATCGGATATCCGTATCCGAAAATTAGGATATCTGATATCCGATATCAGATCTGAAAGCTTTGGATATCCGATATCCGGATATCCGAAATTTTCAGATCGGATATTTCGGATATCCGATATCCGATTCTTTTTATTAATAAATTAATATTAATTATTTTATACTAAATTAAGCTTTTAAAGGCAAAATTATTTTTTTTAAAAGGCAAATTTATATGTATATTTTAGTTATTTTGCTGTTTTAATCTTTAGAGGCAAATTACAACAAATTGAATAATTAGAGATTAGAGAAAATTGGACACATACATACGAGTATCAAATACAGTTCTAATTGAAATTAAAAACTACGAGTATTACGTTGATGCATCAATTATTTAAGTGATGTTACAAACAAGAAATTTTTTATTGAATGGACCCATCGATCGAGACCAACCCAAACCCACAGTACTCACACCAAAACCCACCTAAAACCACCATATCCACCAAGACATCACCATACCTACCCTGAAACCCAACCATACCAGTAAAATCTAATTAAAAAAAAAAAAAAAAACCACTTATCGGAAGCGGAAAATCGTCGGTGGGGTGGAAGCACGCAAATCCGGCAGCGACACTCTGGACGTACGTCGTCCACGGCTGCAAGGTTGACAGATCACGTCATTTGGTTAGGGATATTCATTAAAGGGAATGGAAATCAACGGGAATTATTCCTTTTGTTGTTGTTTGTTAGGCCATTTTACATTCTCTTTACCCTCCCCATTCCCCCAAATCCCTCCAAGTTGATTCCCCACCCCCCCTAAGTATTTCCATTTCATTCCCTAGCTACCACCATACCACCACCCTCCCCACCACCGGAACAACTAGCCACCCCACCGAAATCCCTCCCCTCACCCTCGCCGTCCCTCCCCCCGGAACAACCAGGCACCCCAGCGAAAACCTCCCCACCACCAGAACAACTAGCCACCACCGCACCACCGAAAACCACACCGTGTTTCTAGGGTTTTGCGAGGTTAGGGGAGGTTTTTTCAGGGGGGGGGGGGAGAGCTATGCGGGCACGGGGAGCGGTGGCCAGGGGCGGGGGAGGTGCGGCGAAGGGTGGCGAGTGGTGGAGGAGGTGCGTCGGGTGGTTGGCTGGGTGGTGGCTGGAAATGCTGGAAATGGTGTGCGATGTTAGAAAAACGACGGGGTTGGTGTTTTTGTGGTGGATTTCGATTTACTGCGGCCGGCGGGGAAGGTGAGTACGTGAGGTGGGTTAGGTTCTTGCCGCGGAGTGGCTTTCGATTTGCTGAGAGGAGGGGGACTACAGGGTGGGGTTTCGGGATTTCGTTGGTGATGGGGTTTTGGGATTTTGTTGATGGTGGGGTTTCAGGTGGTGGCGGTGTTAGTGGTGGTGCAAGTTGGGTGAGGTTGGTTATGGAGGGGTTTCAAATCTTGGTTGTGGTGAGAGTGATTATAGGATGCGGTGTTAGTGGTGGTGCGAGTTGGCTGGTGCGGTGTTAGTGGTGGTGCGGTGGTGCGAGTTGGCTGGTGCAGTGGTGCGAGTTGGTAGTGGTGGCCTTGATTAATTAATTATCCCCTCTTTTGTCCTACCAATCAGCCCGTAATTTTCGTACACATAGACATGCAAGTGCATTTTTCAACACTATGTGCTACCTTCACCCATGCATAATAGGACCTTGCAAATTGCAATTGCTCAAAACAATACGAATATATTACACTAATGCTTCATTTCCCTACACATAAGAGTCAATTAAAGTTGATTTTTCTGTAATTATAACCCTGTCACACTGCTCACACGGCCTTCCCTTCATGAAAGCCTAAAATTTAATGGTTTAGAGCTACGATATGAATCATGTACATTAAGTATTTGTCAATTATTCATTTTGGAATATGATGAGTTAAAGTTAAATATGACCTATGGACCAGCATGTAATTAAAAATGTAAAATCAACATGAATTATTCAAAAAGGTTTGTTCAGTTTATGTTCTTACCGAGCTACGAACACAAAGTAAGGGTTGAACATCATGGTCACAAAGGTAAAGAGAGACTTCCATGCCCGAATTTCCACACCCTACAACCATAACTTTTTTGTCGCGGTATTGCTCACCAGATTTGTACTCACATGCATGGATAATATCACCACCAAATTCATGGAACCCAAAAAACTTGGGCATCACCACCTCCACATTTTCGCCGGTGGCAACCACAATCCACCGGCATATATACTCAACATCACGCTTGTTGGTGCAGTTATTAACACCCAAAGCAGTCTTAATTCTCCAAAGACCACATGTTTCATCATACTTAGCAGACTGCACTGACTCATTGAACTGAGGTTGTATGTTGAATTTCGTAGCGTAAGACTCAAGGTAGTTTATGAACTGGTCTTTTGAAGGGTATTCAGGGTAGTCATCAGGGAAAGGGAAGTTAGGAAGCTGACAGAATTGCTTAGGAAGGTGAAGCTTAAGGCCGTTATAATAGGCACGTGTTTGCCATAGCGAGGCAATGCAGTTGGCTCGCTCAAGCACGATAAAGGGGACGCCTTGTTCCTTAAGCCCTGCAACCACTGCTAACCCTGAAGGGCCAGCACCAACTACCACCCGCCCATTCACCGACACACATCGCTTAGTGAAGAATTCTTCGTGGTTGGCCGAGGTGGTTTTGGCTATGAAAGCGGCATTGCTTACCGGATTCATAATGGTAATATAATTAGTAGAGTTGAAGTATTAGTTAGGTTGTTTGTCTATCAAAGGTGTTCAAAGGACTAAAGGAGATGTCAACAATAAGAGGAGAGAGAAATCGCGAACGAGTTTTAAGAGAGAGATAGTGAGAATGGGGGAGGTGGTAAGAGGGTTTAAATAAGGGGAAGAATTAAGAGTATACCCGCGACATTGGATGGCATTGCATTTGGTGGAAAAGGATTGGTCATGAGGAGAAAGAAGGGCATAAAAGTATAAAGCATTAATATATTTTTGCACCATTCGTTAAAAAAAATAAATATATTTTTGAACCACGAATTTTGGCAGCCAAGGCTAGAGCATGACCAAAAGTATAAAATGTGGCATTGAATTGAAGGCTGCCAAGTGTACTAACGCGAACAATTTCCTTTTTTGTTTTTGAAAGCATTTAGGAGAAAAAAAAAAAAAAAAAAAAAAACATGACCAAACTTAATAGGACAACCATTAGGGTATTAAAATGACTTTGGTCATAAAATTTCATTGATGAGGTGGAATATAGAATATTAATAAATAATTTCATGACCAAGATTTTTTGGTCATCTAATGGCTATACTCTAAAAAATGCATGAGACTAACATGTGAATTAACTTCTCATAGAAGAGCTCAAAGAATTTTATTAAACATTTAATAATTCAAAAAATATTCTTGTACTCATAATATTATACAATGTATATATAGAAATTCTTCTATTCAAGTTGTTTAGATGTATGATTGTCATATACAAAAAAGTATTGTATCTGAATTTTATTTCATATACTTATATGTAATTAACATTATATACTTCTTGTTGACTTGTTGCATTATGATTTTATAGCCTCTGCCATTAGAAGTTGCTTTTAATCATTTCATTATCATTGCCACTTGCTCCACCAAATCCTGCATTTTCTCTTTTAAAGAAATTTTACTAAAGTTTTCAACTTTAAAAATGTCTTCTCAAAGGTTTCGTTGTTACTTTTGTGAAGATTTTTGAAAGATGATTAGTAGAAGCAAATAGCAACTCGACTAATTTGGGAAAATTTTATGCGTTTTACTTGACAAGATTGTGTATTTACCTGGTTTATTGAGTTAAAGTGAACTTTTAAGTTTGAAGCCTGAGCTTGATTGCAAGCCAAGCAACCACTAGCGTATATGTTCAACTCGACTTATGCAAATGAACTTTAAATTTGAGCTCGATAACAAGTGTTGCAAGCCGAAAAAATAACCATTAGCCTGTGTTGAACTCATCAATTAATTAACATCCTTAATTGTGATCTCCATGAAGCTGATATCTTACCTAGATTTTTTGAGTTTTTTTCATAAAAAACTTTTGAAATTAAGGTTGCATTATAAATCAAAGTGTCTTATGTTAAAGAACAAAATGTCTAATGTAAATTCTTCACACTAGTATGAGATGTTAGATTTTAATTGAAACAAATTAGGTAAGATGAATGAACCTTCTAAACCCGACTCCTAACTAGACTATCTATACGACTATAATGATTGTGTTACTATAAGCAAAGAGATTTAGGTCGCATATCTCCTCACCCCTTAGATCCCTATGGTCTACATATCAAATCTTATGAGAATCGTTTGATAGATTTCTCTTATCCCCTCAATTGGGTCCCCATATAAAAAAAAATACATAAATAACACCGCTTTTGAAATTCTTATTAACATGAAGTAAGCTTATGTGGCACTCCTAATTAAAAGAAGATTACACAACAATTTCTCTTTATGCCAAGAATTAAATCATCCTTGATGAACTAAAACATAGTATATTATATTAGTAGACTTGTGCACCCAAGTTTAGAAACTACTAGATAATTTAATGTTGCTTTGCTAGGATATTACGTGAATAAGACTTTACATTATCTCCTGTAAAATGTTAATTTAGAGATTCTAATTATGCTAATTAAGGTTTAATTTGTTGTTACATCCTAGTAGTGATAATGGTCGCATATAGAGGAATTAGTTTGCTAAGTCGAAGGCAAAGACTGAAATTTTAGTGGTTTTTAATTGAGATCTAAGATGGACAACCGTATTATAGATGAACACGTTAAGCTACAATTAATGTTCATGACTCTTTTACGTCCCTCTTTTTATCTTTATTTTATATATCTTTCTTTTGGAAGATCTATAATTTAATATATAGTACTAGTATATGTATGGCTAGCTTTGTTTCTTCATCATCTTTGTTTGGGAAATCTACTCCGAGGTCGAATAACGTAGTTGATAAATTCTTTAATTCAACTTTTAAGCGAAATAAATATAATATTTTAAAATACGACCATATATAATAATAGCAGAAAATACAAGTTTAATTCTGAGATAAACATTTTTGTTTATTATATAATATTTTTGTAAATAATTAACTTTTTCATTAAATATGGTCTCATATTTATTGATTACTTGATAAAGTAGTTAATTTATTTAAATAAACTTGGGCTTCCTCCATATATATTATTGTTAGATTATTTGCGTGTAATAAATTTTTTTTGGTTATGATCTCAGTCTCTGTTCTTTTTTCCAAGAAAAAAGATATAAAAAGAGAGAATTTGTAGAGAATAGGTTTATTTTAATAAAAAGAGAAAATTTGTTGAGAATAGGTTTATTTTTTGACTTTTTTTGATAGAAAAGAAAATTTTATTTTGACAAGCGAATATTATTCCATATATAGTTTACTCATATGATAAGGTTATGGAAGTTAAAAGAAAAAAATTTCAATTTATTTCAATAAAGAGAAGTAAAAATAGACAATCAACAGATATTATATATTGATTTTTACCAAGTCAATTTTTTGTATATAGAGTAAATTTATATATGTACTAGTTTGGTGCCTCATGCGATGCCTAGGTTGTTTATTGAATTCTAAGATAAACTTTTTATTTATGTACCAAGTTTTAAAATATACCATTGATATAATACAAAGACAAACATTTAAAAAAAAAATTGGATGTACAATAAATATTGTAAATCTACTATAAAGTTACCTTAAATGATCAAAAATTACCCTATAATTAATGAAAGTTACTTAGTATATATAAGATACCCTGATATAAATAAAAGTTAATGCTTTAATGATAAATGTTATCCAAAAAAGTCTAAAAGTTACCCTAAATTAATAAAAGTTACCTCGATGTACAGTAATTCAATAAAATTACTGTGCATCAGATGCATCAAAAAAATTTGTGATACTAATGTAATACTCCCTCCGTTTTTTAAATACTTGCTCCACTTTTCATTTCCGACCATTTTTAAATACTTGCTCCATTTCCTCACTCCCTCCATTTGTAAATACTTGATCCATTTCTCCATGCGTGGAGTTTCAGGAGAAATAGGAGAAAGTAATAAAATATAGAGGTAGTGGGGTAGGGGGAAGAATAAAAAATTGTAAAAAGCAAAAATAGTTGAGAGAATCGGAGGAGGGAGAATAAAAAATTAATAAAATATGATTTATTTTGGGTCCACTAGGTAAGAGAAATGAATTAAATATTGTGAAAGATTTCCAAATTAGGAATGAAAATTGTATAATACGCCAGGGTGCACCATGCTCATGGTGCACCTGGTGATGTGGCATAACTAATTAACATTAATTTAGTGGAAAATAAAAAAAATTAATGGAAAATAATAAAAAAAAAATCTGGGCGAAATTATAGGGAATTATACCCTTTAATCTGCTTTCAGTTTTAAATTATTATCCTTAATGGACATTTTTCATTTTAAAAACATTTTTAAAACATTTTTGAGTTTCAATAATACAAAGTATGTTCTTTGAATTTGACTCGTATTTAATTTGAGGTAATGAGTGACACACAAATTCTTTTTTGAGTTATCATATATCATTATTTTTTATTATCGTATGTTCTTTGAGTTTGATCAGTGTGTTCTTCGGGTATGAATTATATGTTCTTTACATTATATTTTATGCTCTTTTAATATATGGTATTTTGAATTTTGAAATTTAATTTGAAAATGAAATCTTGGTTTTTTCTTAGTTGAAAATATTTTAGAGAGAAAAAACTAAAATTATTATGGAAAGTTAAATTTTGGAGAGTGAAAAAACAATTTTTGGGGAAATGATATCTTTGGTAAAGTTTTTTTCCGTTAATGTGTAATTTTTCATAAAATTTTAATAAAGTTTTTATCATGTTCTTTTTGTAATGTCTTTATGTTCTTTAATAATGCATGTTCTTTGTTAAACACAAACATGTTCCTTTTCAAACAGCTAAATATTATTTCCGCCCTTTTTCTTTATTTAACCAGGTGCACCATCTGCATGGTGCACCCGAGTGCACAGATCATGCATTGAATTAGGAAATGGAGCAAGTATTTAAAAACGGTCAAAAAAGGAAAGTGGAGCAAGTATTTAAAAACGGAGGGAGTATTTGGAAAGCTTTTACAATATTTAATTCATTTCTCTCAACTAGCAGATCCAACATAAATCATATTTTATTGATTTCATATTCTCTCTTCTCCAATTCTTTCAGCTATTGTTTTTATACAATTTTTTATTCTTTAACCTACTCCACTACCTCCATATTTTATTACTTTCTCCAATTTTTTCTAAAACTCGGTGCATGGAAAAAGGGAGCAAGTATTTAAAAATGGAGGGAGTATTGTTGTACATCGAATGTATACAAAAAATTTTATGATACAAATTATTTAGGAATTAAAGGTTGTTACTCAAAAAAATATGTATTTACATAGTATACTCCATAAAATGTACTTCCCCCCCATAACCTTTATAGGTAAAACCAGTATAGATATTTTTTTCAACAATATCTATACTTTTGGTCTTAGACATGCCAAATTTAACATCTTATGTAAATCAATACAATAGCTACAATAGTTCAGTTGGAAAATCTATATTCATATAATTTTTTCTAGGATATCCATAAAATACTTGTTAGTACTTGAAATTTCATGCACTTAACATGTGTGATGGAAATTTCTCTATTAATCTCTTTCTCTCTCACTCG